GGGCTTCAAGCTTGATAACAAGCTTTCCTTTGATAGTCATTATTCGGACATTGTGTCTAGAGCAACACACAGGATCTTTAATCTGTTCAGGGCAGTCCGATCAAAGGACTTCAAAGACACTTATCAGGGCTTACAAAACATATGTCAGGCCGCTACTGGAATCGGGCACAACTGTCTTCTCACCATTCAACATTCAAGAAAAAGGATATATGCTTACTCGAGGGTGTCCAAAATAGTTTCACACGGAAGCTTGCCATGCGCTGCTCTGGTTTGCACTACGAATTTATTCCTAAAGGGCAGGAACGTCGTCGTTTATACTCGCTTCCCAGTCTGCATGCCCGTAGAAAGGTAAACGATCTCGTTATGGCATTTAAAATCCTGACTGGTAGAGGCTGCCGTCAGTTCTGAATCTTTCTTTACGCGTACCCTTTCTAGAGCTAGGAGGCACGATGCTAAAATCAAGGTTCCGCTGGTGAAAACCCAAATCCGCTCCAAATTCTTTTCTGTAAGGGTAATAGCCTCTCTCAACAAACTTCTTACTCGTGACATCATGCATTTCTCTCTGAATTCCTTCAAGTATTGTTGCCAAAAAGTTGGTGAACCTTGAGGATTCGCGAGGCTTCTCTCATTTGATTTTCTCTCGTGCTAGTTCACTGCATCATTATTTTTATTTCTTTTATCTTTTTATGTTCTCCCTTAATTTAGCCTTGCTTTGCTACAGTCACTGATTCTTTCTTTGTTTTATTGCACTGGCATGCCAATCGTTGTTGTGGTTTTTGTTTCTCACGTGGGCTCATGCCTGCGTCAATAAATAGAATAGAAATAGAATGTGCCCTTAAATGGCGTATATTCGGGTCCTACGCATTATGGGGCACAAAGGGATACAAGAAGGAAGAAATCTGAAAAATGCAAAAGTTTGCCGTCAAGAGGATCCGATCCACAAACACATCGATGTAGGGAAGTACATCGCGCTAGCCACTACATCACTGGCCACTGCTAAAACAGAGATGCATAATGAAGAGATATGCGCAGATGACTATGAATCCTCTATGTAGCTCACCACAATTCAAGTGAAGTACTTGAATTTTGACCTTATTTTGCGTTGTTTTTCATGCCTGCTCAAAGATACCTTACATACTATACCCTGTCAACGCTACAGCTAGAACAGAGGCGAATAAGGTGGTTTAAAAAGTCCATTCTTTTCGAATTGTTTTCGACCTTTTTTGACATTCCCAGTACCGTTTAGCAAAAATGAACCCCATCGCTATGGTCCTTGCATGGACCCCTACAACATGCAACAAACCGTTTTGAAAAAGCTCACCACGGCCTGAACGACCTCCCTTGTGAGACCCGCTCCCATTGAGCGCGCACGACGTACGCAATTCTACTGAGTTTAAGCGCGTAGGCAGCCATACAGGAGGAGAGAGGCAGGCACTCCTCCTCCTGTGATACGGCCCAAGTTGTCCGGACGGGCCGGACGAGTACGATACTCATTTTTGTTGCAGGAGCTGTCTTGCACTAAAATCGTTGTCAACCCGCACGCACAGGCTGTCGCCAAATGGCCTCGGCGCTCAAAATTAGTGTCAGAATCGTGATTGGAGCCATCACGTACCCCTTTATACGAACCTTCAGCAAAACCTTCAGCAAAAAAGCTTGTGGAGGTCCGGCTTCGCCACTCAATCCTTCCCCGGCTATTCGCTCATCTATGCACTTGATCAATGCACTTTACCAGCATTCCACTCAGTAATAGTGTTCAAAATAGCAGGTATGATGTTACTAGTCAAGAAGCTTTTGAATATGCGCACAGATAAAACAAGAGTGCAGAAATATGTGAAAGAAGGTACGCGCGGCAAAGCCGGGCCCTTTCATAAGGAGGCGCGCCGGCGTTAGCCGCCTAGCCGACTGGTATCAGTACAGGTCTAGCATTAGTCGGATTTCACAACCGTTTCTGCCATTCCGATATATCTAGCCGTTGAGTGTGCTTCGGTTCACGTAGAGGCATCACTTCCCATCTTGGTAGCAACGTTGTTCCGCAAATGCCTACGGCGATAGCAAGCGAAAAGTTGTAGGCGATAATCCATGCTTCTGTTTCTTCGATGATCGGTCGACTCATGAAGAATCCATTGGCCAAGCCTTCATACTTTTGCAAGGGAAGCCTAACGCGAGGCGAATTCCTGTGTGATCCAGTTGAAACTCATATGTAGCAAAGCATGACGTTTGTGTACTATTTCATCCGCCCTTTTCGGAAACAGCAGCTCCAGAGGTCCTTGAACTTGCATACTTCTGCTCTCCGAAGCACAAAAGACTGGATTTCGGAATCACTGAAGAAAAAATGGCGCGTGATCCAAGAAAATGTCTCGAATTTTGGAGCCAGTATAATAATAGAAAGATCAAAGAAACTGTTGGGGCGATGGAAGGTTTATAATTGCTTATTACACTAGACAACGCAGTTGTTGAAGTAAAATATTTATTATATTAACTGCGATTATCAATTACACATGCTCTTGCCCATCCAGCTCCTGTCTTTTCTAGTTGATCTCCATTATTGAATGTTGATCTTTTCCCGCCAAATGCCAACGTGTGGTCGGAAAGGATCGGACACTCCAGTTGCCTTCTATAGAGAGAGCAACTGGTTGCGTGTATCCAACAAATCGCCCGCATATCTTTATCGAGCGTGAGGTTAAAACAACAATAACACAAAATTCAGTGTTAGCAACGCTTCCGCTTTCGGACCCGAAAGCTCAATTATCTCTTTTTGATCTCTTTCTTCGACCGTTCCTGCTGCTTCGGCACGCTTCGAGCGGGACGCGGCGACTGGGTTTTGGAGGCTTTCGATCTGAAAGAGGTTTATTATGGCTGGGAAACGTACTCAAAGCATGGGCTGGGAAGTGCAGCGGGTGGGTTGTTGTAATTGATAATCGCAGTTAATATAATAAATATTTTACTTCAACAACTGCGTTGTCTAGTAAAATAAGCAATTATATAACACTGCTCTTATCAATTACACATGCTTCTTCAACATACGTTTCTGCCAGAATGGAATCCTGGAAGGACTCTAGGGGCCCTTTGAAGTAGAATCGCTCGAAGGTGGAACCATTTGGTGCCCAGTTCGCAGCTTCCATGATTGCCTTCGAGGAAACGCCCCTCAGTTTTGCCGCTGTTGTGGCGGCAGCTCTGGTCGAGTGAGCCCCAAAGCTAGAACCTACACCGGCTTCTACCAGGGTTTCCTTTAGCCAGCGAGATACTGTTGTCGCTGTGACGCCGCGAAAGGGCCGCTGAAGCGAGATTAGCAAATGCCTGGTTTTAGAGCGGTGCATTACGGTCCTAGAGATATAAGCCTTCATTGTTTCTATGGGGCAAAGACGAGTATTTTCCGGAAAGGAAGTAAAGCAAGCTGAATGCGCTGCCGCTCCTACCCGGCGATTCTTGTTTACATAATCGAGCCTGAACACCCACCTCGAGTCACCTTGTTGAAGAGACTCCAGGCTTAGCGAGGCTAACTCTGAAACTCTTTTAGGGGATGTAAGTGCGAGAAGCATGGTGAGCTTCAGAGTGAGCTGTCGGGTGGAGAGGTACTCGTTATCGCCGAGGTTATGGAGGAACTGTACCACTTGCGATACGTCCCACACGGCGTTATATCGCGGTCTGGACGGACGCAGCCTGAACACTCCTTTCAAACCTTGCCAGAAGGAGTTTATCATCTTCGGTCTGTCTAGAACCCGTCATACCTTCTTGCTCCTCAAGGCTGACTTATAAGTGTTAACTGCGGAAAAATTCGCTCCTTTTAGAAACATTTTCGAGAGAAAGTTAATGATATCTTGGACCCTAGGCCTAATGTGGTTAATGTTGCGAAGTGAGCAGAACGCGGACCATTTGCTCAAGGCTGCGTCATATTGCTTCACCGTGGCCTCCGACCAGTTGGCCATTAGAACGTTAACCGAGCTAGCGTATAGGCCTGCCTTCTTCCAAGAGCCGATCAAATGAGACATGCGATCAGTTGAAAGCTCTTTCTCAGAAGACAAGGGTGTGGCCTTCCCGACGAGTCGATCAGTAAAGCCGGATGGTTGCA